GAAGCCTGAAGCGAATTACATGAACAATTTTACATTTTCAATTACCAGTTTGGCCTAGTGCAGTGGTGGCAAACCTATGGCACACGTGCTAGAGGCGGCACTCAGAGCCCTCTCTGTGGGCATGCGTGCCATGCCCCGGAGATGGCAACCATCCCTCTTCAACCAGCCTCCCGCTAACTCGCTGAGGTCCCATGTGGCCGGATGCATCCCAACACGGCTGGTTTCCCTCCCCCCATCCCATCCCTCCTGGCCTCGCATGCTCTCCTTTTCCCGGGCACAACTCACTGCATCGCCTCCTCAGCTGTCGGCTGGCTGTCCAGTTCAGAGGCGACTTCTCTGAACTGCTGGCAGCGGGCTGCAGAGCCCCAGAGTGTGCTGGTCGAGGGGCTGGCAGGCTGTGGCTGCTGACGGACACTGTCGGCCCCCATGCGCTTACTGGCCTCTGTGTGTGGGGGCCGATGGTGTCAGGCAGCAGCCGTCCTGGCCCCTGCCTTGCCTTGCGACAATGGCATTGCCGCCCTGCCTCACCTTGCCTCGCCTCACCCTGCAGGACAAGCCTCCTGCCCACCACCCCACCTCCAGAGAATCCCTGGATCTCCCCCAACCCTACCCGACCCCCACAGACGTCCCTCCCCACGTGCAACATCAAGGTGACCACGTCTACCTTGGCCACACCACCCAGTCTGCCATGACTACTACAGCCACGCCCACCCAGTGGGCCACGCCCACCTGGCGATACATAAGTGGGTTTTGGGTTGCAGTTTGGGCACTCGGTCTCTAAAAGGTTCGCCACCACTGGCCTAGTGGTTAAGAGACCAAGCTAGAAACCAGGCGCCTCTGAGTTTCTAGACCCCCTCCCCTTAGCCATGGAAGCCAGCAGGGTGTCCATGAATTAGTCACTGTCTCTCAGTCCAACTTCACTCACAGGGTTGTTGTTGTGGTGGGGAAAATAGGAGTATTATGCATGTTCGCTGTCTTGAGTTATTGGTAAAAGTGATAAATTATCTGTAAAAATAATAAAGGTAGGATAAATAAAAATAAAATTACCACAGAAAGCTAACCCCAGTGCCTCAAAGTAAGAGGCTTTCTCTTTTTCTAGTGAAGACCAGACTTTGAAAATGAAGTTTGTTTCCTACATACACTAGGAATTTTGGTTTCATGGTCACTTTGCAGCAGAATGGGAAACTGCCCTTCAGATGTTGTTGGACAATAATTCCCATAATCCTGACCACTTGGGTTGGTTGATATTGATGGAAGTTGTAAATTAATAATATCCGGAATGCCAAAGGGTCTTTAGTCTTGCTCAGTATAATGGGAGTATTGGGCAAATGAGACAAGAAAATGGATAGTATATAAAATGGATTAAGTGAGACCATACTAGTTGTTGGCCATTTGGAGACCATTTGTCATGCAATAGTTTATGATCAAAGTACCGCTACTGTCCAATCCCAGAGCAGGTATGTGTGTTGAGGGAGGCCAATGACTCAGAGAAATGTGGGGAAGCTGTGGATGCTTCAGTGCTACTGGTTGTTGCTGCACTCTGCTGCAGTCACGTGGTCTTCATTTTCAATGTGATAGTTTCCCCCCCCGATGCGTTCCCCAAACCATGCGCCTCCCCAACCCGCATGCCTTTCCTCCATATATCCTTCCCAACCTGTGCCACCTCAACTGTGATCCCAGACCCACACAGCGCCTATTGCACACTCCCCCAAATCCCCAGGCACTCTATCTATCCTGTGCCACCTCTGCAAACATCATCTCCAATCAGCATGGCACCTCTCACACACCACCATGCACTCCTGATCTGCTCCAACCCCAGTATGCTCTTTGCAAACCACCCAGACCTCTTGTTCACCCCCATGTAGCATTCCTGAACTGCAGCCCTGCGCACCCCTTCACTTCCTCTCCTGCCCAGCAGAAGCAACCTGCCTGCTGGCTTTGCATTTCCATATTCCTGTTGTCTTTCTCTCTACAAGCTTCCCACAAAATAAATAGGGAAACTGGCAGGAAGGCAGGTAGGCGGGCAGGCAGGCAGGCGGGGAGGGAGGGAGGGAGGGACTGGATGAGTAGCAGCAGCCAAAAAAGCTAACACAATCCTTGATTGTATAAACAGAAGCACAGAATCAAAATCACATGAAGTATTGGTACCGCTTTATAAAACCTTAGTAAGACCACACCTTGAATACTGCATCCAGTTTTGGTCCACCACATTACAAAACAGATGGCGATACTTTGGAAAAAGTGCAAAGAGCAACTAAAATAATTAAGGACCTGGAGGCAAAAACATGAAGAACGGTTGCAGGAAGTGGGCATGGCCAGTCTAGAGGAAAGAAGGACTAAGGGTGACATGACAGCAGTATTCCAGTATTTGAGGGGCTGCCACAAAGAAGAGGGGACCAACTTATTTTCCAAAGCACCAGAAGGCAAGACAAGAAACAATGGATGGAAACTAATCAAGGAGAAAAGCAACCTAGAATTAAGGATAAACTTCCTAACAGTGAGGACAATTTATTTATTTTATTTATTTATTTATTTATTATTTGGATTTTTATCCCGCCCTTCTCCTTACGGACTCAGGGCAGCTGACAGCCTGGTAAAACAAATACAGAGATAAAAATACCCACTTTAAAACCTAATTAAAATGAAATATTTGATATGGCCTGTGTCAATTTAAAATTATTCTTAAAACCCCACTAAAAATTCCCCCTAGGCCAGTCCCGCTTGTTGGAAGAGCCATGTCTTAAGGGCGCGGCGGAAGGAAGAGAGATCCCAGTGGAACAGCTTGCCTTCAGAAGTTGTGGGTGCTTCATCACTGGAAGTTTTTAAGAAAAGACTGGACAGCCACCTGTCTGAAATGGTATAGGGTCTCCTGCTTGAGCAGGGGGTTGGACAAGAAGACCTCCAAGGTCCCTTTCAGCTCTATTCTGATTGATTGGTTTCTGAGGCTCCTTACCAGCTCCTGCCAAGAAAACTCAATGGACAAATCAACAGGAAGTCAAAAGTCACTCTCACTGCTTTTTTTGCCTAGCTGTGGTCATTCTGTTTCTGAACATGAAGACAAATGAAATGCAATAAAATAAACAACAAAAATGAATCTCAGAAAAACTAAATATACAAATACATTGAGTAGCTATTATGTGAGCAGAGATATTGGCCTAAGACTAAGAAGACTGGAACAGTCTCTCATTCTTTAATCTAATTTACCTCATGATAGTCATTAGGGAAAAAACAGAAGGAGGGAGCTCTACGTATGCTACCTTCGGTTCTTTGTAGAATTCAAACCAACCAACCCAACAAGCTAGCTATGAGATAGTGAGGAGTTCACATATGCACGGTACAAAAATAACAAGCACAAAATATAATCAATATCGTAATGATTGTTTTCTCCTCTTTATATAATTTAGACATCAATCATATACACACATACATTTGAAATATATCAGAAGTAATAGGGTCAATATATATGCTGTCACCTCAAAAAAGAAATGTACATATTCTTCAGCAATATGGCCATTGCCATCTATGGAGTCAGCTGCTGGGAGGTGAAACAAATATTCAGACTTTGTACCAATGTGCTAGCAGAAAGGAAACTGCCTCCACCTCCAAATAAATACATGGTTAGAAGTTGGTACAAACGCAAATGTGTTTTTTTTAAACAGAGCTAAAAAGCAGACCCAGGACAGGTGTGATTCTCCTATATTAGTTGGATGGTGTTTGTTCCTTTCTTCCTATGCCTGAATTTTAATGGATTATTTCATTTTAAAAAGAAATAACCTGTTGCGGATAATTTGTTGTCAGACCTAGTTTGGGTCTCAATTGATGGTAACCACTTGCAAGATAAATCTAAATATTTCGGTATTATCCAAGAAATGTCAGACATTTCCGCACTAGGCCTCTTCCCAAAGGAATATTTTTTGCCGTATTGTTTTTCTGCTGTAACCACAATTCGTGTAGCAAATGGACATGGGCAAGTAGAACAAGTAAGGACAACTTCACATCGGGATATAATTGTACAAATGGTATGGACTGTGTTATTCAGATCATTTCACAATAATGCCATGACACATCTGCCATGATATCCTACCTCCACCCCACCAATACCCACAGAAAAGATGTTTGCTCGGGCACAAAATGCCCGAGTTTTATTAACTTAGTTTTAGTAACAGTTTTAGTACAATGCCTATGGGAAGATGAATCCTTTCGCAAATCACCCCATCCCAACCAACCCCACTGATGCCCACAGAAAAGATGTTTGTTTGCTCGGGCACAAAATGCAGAATTTTATTAACTTAGCTTTAGTAACAACAGAACTATGCCTATGGAAGGATAAATCCGTTCACGCAAACACTTTCTCTTGGATCATTTTGAATAAACAGGAAAAGAAGAAGGAAGTTGCATTTTAAGGAGCACTATTTTCTGATTAAACACGTTGACATCTACATCCATTCTGTCATCAGTCAGTGACAGAAAGTGTTATTCAGAAAGCACCTAAAAAGATTTAAAAAAAAAACAAAAAACCCTAGAATCTTTGTCAGCAGTTGAACAACTCTAGTTGGCGTTAACGATCAGTCACTGTGATGCACCTCACACTCATTTTATTTCTCTTACGTGACACAATGCCGATGACAACCTGTGACATTGATAAGAGCAACTTGTTTCTATTTCTCACTCCCTTGGAATATTTTTGGATTTATTCCCCCCCCCTCCTCCCAAAAAAAAAGAGTCTAAGCCAGACTCTTTTCCTTGTAGTCACTCTTGAATATATAGTATGCATACTTTTCTTTACTAAATCATTTCCTCGGTACCTGAATAGTCCATTTAGAACACAAAAATGCATATATATATATATTTTCTAAAAAAATGATTTGGTTTAAGCAGTAGTTAGAAACCACATTTCTCAATCTCTGACAGATACCTTATGGAAACCTTTATTTCTAGCATGTTTTGGGTTAATGCTTTGGGACACTTGGTGGTGAAGAAAGGTTACGGAAGACTCTGACCTGGAATGCTATAACCTCTAGCCCGCCTTTCAGCCCTTCCATTGCAAAAGTCTCCAGGTGCAGCTTAGGCAGCTGCAGGGCGAAGTCATTCCTGCTTGCTGTAGTCCATGACAGCGAGATCTGATCTCTGACCTAAAAGGGGAAAAAACAGTATCAATGGTAATTCCCCTTCAGACACATTAACTGGGATGAAGTGGGTCCCCTTGAGTCCACTGAGTGGACTTGCATTGATCGCTGGACCTGAAATCCATGAATAAATTTAGGACTAATTGATTTTTCGTTGCAAATAAATCTCTAATTCAGAGTGCTGGGAGAGAATGTTAAGAAGAAAAAGCTTCCTCCTCTCTAAACTGAAATGAGATAGGAAAGAAAGTCACTTAAGGCTCCTCGTTCAAGTGGGGCAGCACACAACTCTACGGGGTCTAGATTTAAGACGTTCAGATGCCCAGTAAAATGGACACTCTCGTCACATTAATTTCAGTGAACATGCCACCAGTGAACCTCTCTTTTTTTAAAAAAAAAAGTTCTCACGTTCACATAAATATCTTATTCTCATCAAAGAAAAACACTTTTAAGTTAATGAAACTGTGATGTGGCAAAATCAGATTAGATAATGGAAATATTTCTAAGAATCCAGTTGCATAACAGCTAATAAGGAGAAGTCGTAAGTGTCTGTGGAAACACTAAGTTCAAATAACAAGTATTTTAACCGGGACAAATAAAACAAAAAAAATTCTGAAAGAGAGAAAAAGAAAATGCATATTTTTTTTCCCAATGCCAAGTAATTGGGTTTTAAAATATTTCAGTGTTTTAGAAACAACAAAACACAGAGCGCCGTAAATGAGAGTGATCCATGTACTCATGTGGACAACTACAATCTTATGCAATTGGTATTGTACTGCCACCTTCTGTTAAGGTGAGCAATACCTTCACTCATCTGTAAAAATACAATGGGCAACATTTACAGTTTTTGATTATTGCTAGTTTCTACCTATACAAGATCAGATTCTATGCATAAATACTAGAGAATAAGTCTATTAGATAGGGTGCTGAATATCACAGAAGATTTTCCAGTAATACCAGGAAAAAAAAATCCACCCACATCTTGGCTTAAGTAGGCTTATCTCCAGCAGCCAGAAAACTGAAAACATTTATTTCTACTTGTAAGTAACAAGTGTCAGTACTACATGTAAATTCTAAACTATAGATTAAACAGATTATCTCAACATTTTTTTTAAAAAAAATAGCATTATTGCCCAAAGTTAATTAGTGTGCTTTGAACTAATCATTGAAATTAAGTCGATTTGGATGGATTTTAACAAAACTACACAAGGTTTTTAAAAATGGACACAGAAATATGGAAATTTCTCATCTCCATCATCCTTGAAGAGAAAAGGACAGAAGATTCAGAAGGTCATAACTTATGATGACTTCGGAACACAAATAACAAGGCTTCCTTCCAAACAGATAGTGCTGTGTTATACGTACATGTTATCTTTTCATTTTATTAGGGAGGAAGTCAGTTGATGCACACGTGATTTTTGTCTTCTTAGTTTGCAAACTCTAACACTGCAGCAATTAAACTGAACTGTACAATCCTGTATCTCAGAGGCAATATGCAGCAGAATTGTTTTAGAATGGAAACAGACATATAAATCGTCCCAGCCACATTCTACTGCCCTGCTAGTAATTGATGCAACAATTTACTACGTAAACATTAACACAGTCGAAAAACGACTGCTGCATTCCACGTTTATAAGAGCCTACTGTATTAATGATTAAGTACCTATATTTTTCCTTGTAAGTCATGAAGATGTTTAAGAAAGCACTCCTTTTATAATTATTTTTTACTCTCTCTCTCTCTCTCTCTCTCTCTCTCTCTCTCTCTCTCTCTCTCTGTGTGTGTGTGTGTGTGTATTTCATTCCTGAAGATATAACGTTCAAGTGCTAAGTGAAATGCTGGAGATCTACATACCCTGCACCCTAGTCTATGGGAATAGGGAGTCTTACATTTCCCTGGTTGATGTAAAGAATTCCTGTCAATACCTCTAAGCTGTCAAAGTATGCACTATAATGCAATTTTTATAACGGTGTGGTCCTTTCACACATTTCTATCTGCAGGTTTAGGGTACAGAGCCTAGAGTCTAGAAGAACAAAAAACATCTCTTGGGCCTTCTACGGTATATATAATTTTGTCCAGATAGTCATCTTGTCTAATGTACTACAAATGTCATTTTACTACATCTATAATAATGCATTATCGCACTTGAATTGTTATAGACTCTATATGTTAGCTTTTCATTTTCTCACTGTAGCCAATGTGCACCCAGATAAAAGAAAACGTTAATGTGGATTAAGGTTCTAAGAATTTATCAACATCAAACCACCAGTGTTTTGCCTTCTACCCTTCTGAACCATAGTCAATAGATCTAAATATTTTACTGCACCCTGGCCAATTCATTGTTTGATGTTTAAAAACGCACCCGGAATCAAAGAAAATTTATTAAATTTGAGCCCCCAAATGAGATACTATTAGCTTTGAAAGTCAAGTTTAACTGCGATATTGATGATTCTCTTTTTTCTGTGACAAAATTCACCAGGGAAACCCCTGATGTCAAAGTACCAAAGCAGATTGCTAATACTGAAGGAGGAGGGGAGGAACAGCGCAAAGGAGAAGAGGGGGTGAGGCGAGAGAGGGAGAGATAAACAATGTAGATGCTGTAGAGATACAACAGTAGCAGGGCCAAGTCCTTTCCCCTCTACTTATTTCTGCTTTGGTCCTTTGCCGTTAGGTTATAACAATAAATTGGACAGTAAAAGAAGGAACGTATCCTTAGAATGCAGTATAAGACTAGGTCATCAGCCAAAAGGAATGTAAATGTTCCTTAACTGTAAAAACTGCAGATTGCATAAGTCCAAGTATTTATCCTAATATTTTAATTATTTTAGACAGAATGGGCTACATTGTGTCTCTTTCCTTCCTTCCTTCCTTCCTTCCTTCCTTCCCTTCCTTCCTTCCCTTCCTTCCTTCCCTTAATTACTTAACGGGGGGGGGGGGTGTCCCAATTATTTTTGATGTTATTTATTAAATTCAAACCTCAAATCCCCCTTAAGAGAAATGCTTCAGTTATACACAATGCTCCTTTTTCCCTAGCTCACACTGAGTGTCTGATTTCAAACTGCAGTTGGGGACTGTGATTTTTGAATATTGCTGTTATAACATAAGCATTAATTCACAAGGACAACTAGCATTGTCACTGTTGTACAGGAGAAGGATTTTTTTTTTCCCCTGCTTTCCTTCCTGACATGCTAGGTACCCATGTGAAAGTTTTGGTTTTTTTAACAGGAAGATACATTTCCATTCTGTGAGCATTCTTTCCTGCAGTCTGGAATGTTATAGTACAGCTCAAGGAAAAGTAGATATTTGAGGTTTTACAATTCCACTAATGTCCACTTAATTCAGCGTACTTACAAAAGAATATCCCCTACACACATTTTCCCATAGTGTTGATGTGTAGCATAAAAGAAAACACCTAAGTGTTTGGTTAAAGTCTGGCAAACTGCACACAAGCTGCAGATTTTCAAGGACTTCAAAGCTACGGGAAGATAGGACGCTGTACATGTGTCCTTTCTGTCTGAGGTTGAAAATAATCCCTCAAAACTAAAAGCAACTGTTTAACGAAACTGTACAATAATAATAATAATAATAATAATAATAATAATAATAATAATAATAATCATCATCATCATCATCAACATCATCATCATCATTATTATTATTATTATTAACTATGGAATGAATGGGCTTTACATATATCTCCTAAAGTACTGGGGGGGGAGGTTTCTACACAAAGAAAAATATTTTCTTTTAAAGAAGACAAGATGCTTCCCAATTTTGATGGGAATATGCTGTGAAGGAAACTGCAGAACTTAGTCCAATCTTTCTTTTAGGATTTCCAGAATACGAATGTGATCAGCACAAAGCTAAACTGCCATCTTTTTCGGTAGACATTTTAAAAGTATTTCTAAAATCTGCAAATATATTCTAAAATGTAGAAGACCAAAGCTTATTGTGTCCTGTCTGAAGATTCTATTTTTTATTGTGAACTGAGATTCTTTAAGTTTCCATGCATCCAAACATGCATAGAAGCAGTGCTTTTTTCCTTAAAAAAAAAAAAAAAAAAAAGGTCCCGGAACTCACACACGTCATACAACCCGCCTTGCCTACCCTACAAGGTTCCATCCAAAAAAGGTGCCGGAACTCCATTCTAGGCGTTCTATGAGAAAAAAAAACCATGCGTAGAAGTATTTAAAAACAGAGTTATTGGTTTATTTCTGTTGTATAAAGCGTATTATCCTGAGACAGTATATAGACACCCATGCAGTGGTGGGATTCAGCCGGTTCGCACCACTTCGTCAGAACTGATAGCTAATTTTTTTATTGCGCAGACCCAGAATGGACTTCCGGAAGCGGCATCCACACAGAGAACCGGTTGTTCCCATATTTGAATCCCACCACTGCACCCATGGTGGTGATGAAGGGAAAGAGGTAAAAAGTGAAACCATCTAAACGTACATTCATTCATTCACAAACCAGTTGTTAGGTGTGACACAATTTTTTTTTAATTGATGAATCGGGTCACACATGTGGAAAAGGAATCTCTATATAAGAGCATGAATATATTCAAAGGTAGCACTGGAGAAGAAATCCCCAAAGTGTATTTGCTTCTAATTTCTACATTTTGGAAACAGAGGCAGTTTTCTGGGGGAACTGAGATGAGACTCTTGGTGAGAAAAGGAGGCGAATAAAGGTGTCAAAAGTTAGCTTGTAATTAAAATTTTCTATTTGATGGTGCATCTGGGAACATTTTCCGGATGATTTATGCAAACAGATACAATAAAGGCAGATTTGTCTGCAGTAGTTATGATAGGCATGGGAATTTTGCATATGTAGCCATTGCTAAAATCCTTTCTCTTCGCTGTATTTTTTTTTTTTAAAAAAAAAACCCAATTTGTACAAATGCTATAAAAATATAAACTATTTTTATATGAAGGAAACAATAAGGAACTACCATTCCACACTGCTATTAACTATGTCCAACTAGTCTGGGACTCTTCCTCTCTTGTCAAAA